TAAGCGCGCGCCCTGGCCCGTCAGCCCGTCTTTCTATTCGTTTTGTGTACTCTTTTCTTGAGAACGACACTTGATGACTGAAACCCCCTATTTTTAATGTATATGTGTGATTATGTTGTTGTCTTGGAGATTATATTTGATTTGAGTGATATGAATAATTGTTCTTTTGTGTTCGTCTCTTCGGTTTGATGTCGAAACTGAAGGACATGAGTGAATTTCGTGGAAATCCTAGACTTATAGATAACTTGGAGTGTCCTTGATCTATTAGTTCAAGCCTTGTGTCGTTTTGATGTTTGTGGTTTGAATTATGAATTTTTTAAGTTGATCATGCTGCTGTACTTTATTAAAATCATGAAAAATCGAGTTTCGATGCTTTTAATATGGATTTTTGATATGTTGGTCCTCTGATTTTGTTATTTAAGTGGCAAAAAATTCAGGTCTAGATTTGATGTTTAACTAGGTCAAATAATGATTTTGAGTTCTGGCTTGAATCTCGTAAAATTCATATAAAATAGAGTTTTTTGTGTTTTGGTTTGAAATTCTGGGGATTCTATCATTTTAACTCGATTATAGTTGTGTCAAAATTTCATGTTTAAAATCAAAGCGTAACTATTTGAACTCGTAACTTCAGATTTTATAGCTGATTTTACAAAAATTGATTAATTGAGTTCTGGTAAATTACAAGGGTCTATCTTTTGTGAAAATGTGTGTTTTTGTGTCCTCTGTTGTGTGTAAAAATTTGAGGTAAAAACCCTGAGCCAAACTCCCAAAACCTTGGTAAGTATTATTTGCAACCAGTCTGCAGGCAGCCACTCCCAGCACCCAGTGCCCAGCGCCCAAGTGCCCAGCGCCCCAACGTCCAGCAGAGCCCCAGTGCCCGTGCCAACACACCCCGATAGCCCCGACAGCGACCAACCAAGCCCCATTTTGACTTTTTCCCAATCCGTTTGACTTCCCTTTGACCCGTTATCTTGTTTTACATGTCGAGTATGTCTTAAATGATTTTAATTGGTTTTTTCGAGTCTAGTGGTCTACTCCAAAGGCTCCAAACTCCGCTAAAGGACCCACGAATCACTTACTCGATAATGTTCGACTAAGTGAATGTGTTGTAAATGGCTTTGAGTGTCGAAATAGTTATTGATATGACTATTTTTTATGAATGTTGGTGTTTGACGAGCCGTGCTCTCATCCAAGCAGCTTTTGTGTGCTATCTACTACTTCGTTATCCAGGAAGGATGATTTATGAATATCTATGTCGTAAATGATTGATGTTGTATGTTGGTATGATCAATGTATGCATATGATCAATGTGAGCTGTATCGGCCATTGAATGGTTATCCCCGACTACGTGGTTGTGTCTTGTATACGCAGTCTCTTCATATCGTTGTAAGGCCACATTGAGGGGAATTCGTTATGGTGCCGATGAAAGGCCACATCGAGGGGCATTCGGCATTTACTTCTACCAGTATGGGATTCGATGTAAGGTCACATAGTGGGGCATTCGTTGTAAGGCCATTCAGTAGTGTATGGTTAAGTGTGCACACGAGTAAGACTCTGGATAGATATTGGATAGATAATTGATTTGTATGCATGATGCGACCCTACCTGTCTTATATGTTGTTATTTATGTGCATAGTGGTGAGCAAGTGGATTTTTGTGCTCACCCCCATGCCCCCCCAAGATGCAGGTTAAACAGGTACGAGCACGACGAGGCGGGGCGAGTGGTGGTCGGTCTAGATGACTAGACTATTATTTGTGTTGCTTCCACTTTATTTGAGTCTATTTATGTCTTTGGATATTTTCGAACTTTGGATATTTATGATGTGTTGAAATACTGTCGGGGAGATACCCCGTTTGACATTGTTATGTCCATACTTTTGGATTTTGGAAACCCGTTTTGGGTAATTATGACTTTGGATGAAACCTTTGATAAGGTGTTGAAATGTGTTTGATTTCGTTGCTATGACTTTGCATGGTGATATGTGTATGTATGACTTTGGAAACAAATGAGTAATGCCAAAAATGTTTGATATGAATTTTGAAAAGTTAAATTGATTTTTCTGAAAAGTCATGGATTTTCGTTAAATCAAAGTGGGGCGTTAAAATTGTCTTATTATAGAAAATAACTTAAAGCAGTAAACCCGGAAGCAATTTAATTTATTTGTTTGACCACCTATGCCATCGCTCATTTGCCAATCGAGCAACCTGGGTGTGGAAAACGAATGAGGGGTGGGCATTTCCACTTATTCAGTAAGGAATACATACTACATACACATTCAATATAATAACAAATCAAATGATATTGACATGTAACAACTATAACCATGCCATCTTGGTCCCCCTGACTAATGGTGTGCTGACAACCGACCTGACAAAACCAAATTAAGAACGAAGAAATACGTAATATTAAAGATTATCACTTCAGTTGAATCATATGCC